ACACGAGGTTTACGGGCTGGAGGGAACCAGGGGTTTTGTCAGGTGGGAGATATATTTTGACGTTAGAGAAGGCTGGGAGTGTAGGGAAAGGAATGGGGGAACCCTGGGAATGGCCGGTGTCAGCAGCAAAGTCCTAGATGCTTTGGGTGAACTGGTTGCACAGGAACTTTTTAAGAGGCGCTGGGAGCAGAAAGGGGACCTGAGCTCCTCTCCTCTTCAGTACCGCTGGTACAGAGTGGCTGGATTTCTTCTACATTGTTCTAATCAGCCGCCTTCCATGGTTAGAAAGAGCAGAAATCAGGTCCTCTGGGAAATGATGGGAACATGCTGGTAGGCTCCATCCTGCTGAGCCTTAGCCTCTTAGAGCCCCACAGGGGGGTTGGCTTTTGCTGTGAGGGTTACAGACTCACACCTGCTCCTCATCTTTGCATCTGGGCTAGTCAGTGGGGGGCTGGTGTAGGCAGGGGACAGAGAGGCCAGCTTGTCCTGGTGCTGTCGTGAAGGGATGCCTTAGGATGTCAAAGCCCTGTGAGCTTCTCTATCGCCCTGTCTTCCTCTACTGTGCCCCGCCTCCTCCCGCCCCCCCTCCCCCTTCCCTCTGTTCTTCACCTCCTCCTCTTCCTCTTCTTCTTCCTCCTTTACTCCACTCCCCCCCACCCCTTCTCCTAGTGACATCCTGGACTTAATGGTCTGGGCCAAGGGAAACAAGGAAGAGCTTGGCTCAGCATTTCTGCAGGGTAGGCAGGGAGTGAAATAATGGAGGAAAAAGACAGTCCCAGCAGTAGAGACGATTTACACGTGACTTCATCTTTCTTTTCGAGGAGCCAGAGCATCAACCTGTTCACCCCCGCCCCCTCCTTCATTGCTGGTTTCTCATTTAATTCTTTCCTTCCTTTCTGCTCCAACCCAGTGTGGAGCCCCGGCCAGGCTGATATTTCAGGGCTCCGTTAAATATCTGGGAAATCTCTCCTTGCTCCGGGTGCATCCTTGTGGGAGGATTGTGGTTTCAGTGCCTGGGGAGTTTACCCAATTGGAAGGAGAATGAATGCTCCCCGTTTCTGAATAGGCCCCACTGCCGTCCCACTGTCTTGATGAAGACAGTTCTTTTTGTTGAATGAGCTCATGTTTATAGCTTGTGGGAGCTGCTGGCTCATTGTGTGCTGTGTTTATTAGGGGAGGAAACTGAGGCTTTGTGTGGTTATTCATGGCAGACACTGAAAGGTGTGCACCCAGTTCTGATGGGAAATGAGGTGACACAGCCACCAGGAATTCCACCCCATCTAGTCACCCCATCTGGCAACTAGGATGCCTGTCCCCGGGTCCACAGCAGCCATGTTTATTAGTCTGCTTGGGAGCGTCTCCTGTGCTTCCCATAGTCAGGATTCAGGTGTGCACCTTGCCCAGCTCGGAGAGGCCTCTCCTCCGGACTCCCTGGCCTTCTGCAACACGCCGTGGTTCTCAGCCTTGGCCACACACTGGAATCCTTGTCCTGCCCTAGTAGATTCTGATTTCACCAGGCGGGGGGCCGAGACCAAGCCGTTGGAAGACTGAAAAGCGTCCCAGGTGATTCTGATGTGCAGCCAAGGTCAAGAATGAACCCCTACAGAGAGATACCCTTTCTTAACTTGGAGTGGTTTTGATGACCGCCCCCCCGCCCCCGCTTTCTTACAATGCCCGAGACCATTTTGATGGCCACACAGAGAGGACGGTGCCAGTGGCATCTAGTGGGTAGAGGCCATAGATGCTGCCAACCATCTTACAATGCACAGAGCAGCCCCCCCAGTTTTTGATTCAGTAAGCCTGGGGCGGGGCCTGAGAGTTTGCATTTCCAACAGGTTACCAGGTGCTTGCTGAAGCTGTGGGTCCAAGGCTACACCTTGAGAGTGGCTACTCTAGACTGACTCTGAATCCTGTTTTTCTAGATCTGTGATAATATCGCATCTGTCATGGTTACTAGAAAACTCTAAATTGGCAGTGACTTATTAAGACAGAAGAGCATTCTCTCCTGCGTGACAGAAATCTAGAGAAGGGTGTGGCGGTTTTTCAGTTGATGGAACTGAGGCTCTCAGAGATGAAGCCACCAGCCCAAGTGACAGCCACAAATGGTGTAATTTGAGAGGCTGCTGAAAGCCTGGTCTGCTTCTTGCCTCAGTTGCTCTCAGAGACCTACCTTTTCCTTCTGAGCCTATTCGGTCTCTGTTAGACGTTTCTAAGCGAGATTTGGGACCCTGTCCCTTCTGACCAGCTGCATTCCATTGTCACTTGCATCCCTAATGCAATACCCTCTTCTGTAGATCTGCTGGGAGACAGAGGCACGGTATGCCTGACTGACAAGATTACCTTCCCGTTGTAGCTATGAAATTACCACAAACGCAGTGGCTTAAAACAATACAAATGGATTCTCATACATTCTGGATGCCCATTTCACCGGGCGCAAGCCAAAGGACCCGCGGGCCCGGTGTGTGCTGGGAGCGCTGGGGAAGAATCCATTTCCTTGCCTTTTCTAGCTTCTGAAGGAGTTTGTGTTCTGAGCCCTTCCTGAATTACCCCAGGCTCCTTCTTTCATTTTCATGTCTCATTCCCCCCACCTCCCTCTCGTAAGGACACTTGTGGTGGCATGTGGCAGCACCCGGCTCTTCCGGGATCACCTCTACCTGTCAGAGGTGGAACATTCACAGGTCGCCCGGATTAGGACATGGATGTCTTTGGGGGCTCACATTCCGCCCATCACAGGGGCTCTCCTGCCCTTGCCCCGTCTTTCGTGGCCTTGACCCCACTTCTTCCTCCGTCAGCTGTTCCCAGCACAGGCTCTCCATATATTTCACTTCTGTCCCCGGGAGTTTTTTTCAAAGAGGCCAGAGACTGGTTCTGAAGGGCAGCGTGGTGTGCCGGAGGCTTGTCTACTCGGCTCCTAGCGGCCTCGGCAACGGGCACGAAAACACTCACGGGGATGAAGGATTGGGGGGAGGGGACCCTGGCCCCGGACGCAGCAGCGTGACTTCACCTGGGCACGATGCACGCTGACAAGCATCAACAGGAGGTACAGCTGTCACGTAGCAAGCTTCGTGAACCCTCTGGTTTCTAGGTAATCTCTCAGATCTCTAGGTGCCTGCTAATCCCTGAGCCCCCGGTGCCCTTCTCTAGGCTAACGGAGGCGTGTCTTTGGCCACAAACAAATGCCACTACCCCAGGCAGAGTTCATGTGGGGAGGGAGGGAGGGTGGGGGTGTGTGGCTCTGTTGGGCTGATTCTGTGTCAACCTTACTTTCCTTCCCTGCAGTGGCTCCCTCAGCCCCCCTCCCCACCCCTCCCCCCTGCCTTGGCTGGGTCCAGCCCACCGGGATGAGTCTGGGGGGTTGTATGTTTTGCTTTTTATTTTATTTTGCAAATGCCTCCCAACATTCCCCTCTGTGTTGAATGTCCTGTGGCCAAGGGCATGAGGTTGCCCAGCAACAAGAAGGAAGTCCCAGTGTGATTCACCCGCTACTGCCAATTAATTTGCTAGCTGCGTGCATCTCCCTGGGGAAAAAGCTCCTCCTGGCCCTCCGCGGGCCAGAGCACAGGGCCGCGGCCCAGGAGAGGGAAGGAAACCAGAGAAAAGTTAGCAGAACGTTGGGGCTGGGCAGGGGGTGCTTTCCGGTCCAAATGAAAGAGTGTCTGGAGAGCCCAGGCCACACCTGGGTGACACTTACGGTTTCCTCTTGGCCGCCAATCCAAGAGCCGTTTGGAGCGCCAGGGCACCTCCGCGTAGGCACCCTGGCCAGCTTTCTGCGGAGTCGGTGGCTCTCACACACACTCCCCCCTTTGGCAGCTCTGTTGCAGAGCAATGCTTTCTGCGTTCTCTGCTCAGTACCCCCAGCCCTCACTAGGACCCCCTCCCGTTCCTGACCATTAGCACCTTGTTTCTGGGAGGTCACGGCAGCTGCACACATCCCTGCCTGAGGTATAGACAAAGCCCACAGGAGAGTGCACCCCTTCGTAGGGGTGCGAGGGGCTAAGGTGCGACCTCCATGGGTCTGCAGAGGGGGGGAAGGGGGCCCAGGGTGTGTCCCTCGAGCTTGATCCGAGTTCCCTCTCTCCTGAGGTCTGTGAGGGCGTGGTTCGCCCGTGCGCGTTATGTCCGTTTCCACCACAGCAAGCCCCAGCTGGGACTTGGGTTACGTATGGATTCGCATGGATTTGTAGTTGTCCGGGTTGTTCCGTATGAGCTGATGGTGGTGGCTGCCCTTGCGAGGCCTGGGGTCTCTGCCTGAGAGCAGGCCACTTGCTGGCCTTGCCGGGCCTCGTCGATTTCAAAATGGGGATGTCCCCCAGGGGCATTTGGTGGCACTAGCTATATTTGTCACTCAGGAAAGGGGACCACGGGGGTGGAAGTGAGGGACGTACGCAGAGCCCAGCCCCATCTTCATTTATCTGCGGCCAGCATTAGGAAAGAAAATGTGTTCAGGTGTGTCTTTCCATTTCCTCTAAGGAACCCCATCTGCTCTGGATAATTTCCCAATTCAAGGGGTTCGTGAGAACAGCCCGAAGTACCAGCTAAGGTGAACATCAGGATAGGGACCAGGCCCTTGGCATCCTATACCGAGAACACCGACACCCTCTGTGCCTCGGTTTTCCCATCTGTAAAGTGGGTGATCTAACACCTCCATGCTTCCTGCACCACGTCTCATAGACATCATTGTGAAATGCTGCAAGACAGAATTTTCTACTTCTTCTGGGCCGGCTGTATTCAGTGTGTTGTGTTTTGCTTTGTTTTTGAAGTCAGCTGTGGGTATCGTGGTGAGGTCTGTGTGGAAGGTTCCTGGTGATAATCCCATGTAGGAGTTCTTTGAGGGGTATAAATAGGCCTTTCCTTTTTTTCTGTCTTAACTCAAATAGCTCGTTTAGCACTGGAGGTTCTGTTCACCAGCTAGAACTCTGGACTAAAGACAGGAAAGTCAAGCTCCCTGTCGAGAGAGCAGAAGCCAGACTCTAACTCTGATGCTGTGTTTCGGTCCACAGGCCTGGAAAGGAGGGGCGGCTCCCGGCTCCTCTTTGTCGCCCACACTTCCCGCCCGGAAGCCGGGTGGGGCCAACATATCCCACCAGGATCCCCGAGAAGGACCCGGCTGAGACGGGACCATCCCTTAGGAGGCCAGAGTTCTGGATCTGATTAAGAATTCCTATTTTGGAGAAGGAAGAAAGTTCTAGATTTGAGAGGATATTGGAGGAGAAACTAAAGACCTATGCACCAAGCAATAGCCTCTGCGTGGACCTGTGTGAGACGGACGTGACCTACATACATTTGGACGAGACACCTTGTCACAGACCTTGTCCTTCCTTCTTATGGGAAACATTCCCTCTGCCACCGCCTGCTCTTAAGAACCGCCCCCCCATCCCAATCCCACGAACCATAGGGCTTTCTACCACACCCTCTGTCTTGCCCCCCGCTTCCCCCTTCTGCTGTGCCTTTGGCCTCAGCCATTCTTGTTTGCTCCATTATCTTCCAGCCGGATACAGAGTGAATAGTTAACTACACTTAGGTCAAATGGGATTTTAATGTTCGTTCCTGTTCCTTCTAAAGCGGCCAGTGTTTGTGTTGCTATGTGAGCAGTGTTGGAATAGTTCTGTCCTCTCGCTTATTTGGGATCTGGCCCCCTTGGGTTCCAGAGCGATGCAGATCAGTGCCGGAGTTCTTCAGGGCTCTCAGATGTCGGGGACATCAGAGGGGCCCCTGGCAGGGGAGCTCGCTCAGGAAGGCTGGCGTCCTCCGTGTCCAGCTTCCTTGGTTTGGATCACACGCAGGTGTATGTCTGGAAGAGCGAAAAACACTACTTGTTCATCCCAGCTATATTCCATTTTTTTAAACTGAAGTTGTGACGTATAATCGACACACCGTTATATTTGTTTCCCAGCTATCTTCTGTTGATGCAGACACCCAGCCTGCTGTGAAGACCCTCCCCCCCGCCCCCACAGGTGGCAGTTGGGACCCATGCCTGAACACAGTTTTTCCTTGCAGACTCGCTGGCTACCAGAGCACGTGTGTTTATTGAGCACCCTCTTCCCCCAGGATGCTGACGGCACTCCTGACAGCAGACGGGGCCCCGCAAGACATGAGTCGAATATTCCGTCACCACCATACGCGTGGCTGAAAACACCTCTAGATTCGATCTTAGCTACACTGCAGAACCAACGATGTCCGTACGTCCCGCTTCCCAAACTAATGGATGGCTCGTCTTTGTAGAAGGAATTAAAGCTGTACACGTCTGTCTTCTTGTTGTAGGGAATGGGTTCCTATGACCATTTAGTGACATCAGTATCTTCTAAGTGGAACATTGGGGACCTTCTTGGCATGTCAGATTCACCACAAAATGAGTGAGAGGACCCTGTTGAGGACACTTTGTGCTGTTGAAATGTAAGGCTTGTCTGTGGGCTTCTCATATCACTTCCGTGTCTCATATCGCTTCCATGAAGGAGGGCTTATTTCAAGTTGCATTGGAAGCAAGGTAGACAGGAAACAGTCTTCCCAGCAGCTGCCCAGCAAGACCTTTCTGGAAGCCCAAAGCCATTCAAGGTATCCATTCGCTACAGCATTTCCAGGAAGAGCAAGAACTCTGCCACCACAGCCATTTTGACCTTCTGCTCAGCAGCAGGACCCAGTCCTCCTGCTTCTAGAGTATTCTGCACTGGTGATGAGCTGAGGGAGCTGCTCCAGTTTGCCCAGGGTCGAGTGCTTTCCTGGGACACACGACGTTCAGTGATAAACCTGGGACAGCCCTGGGCAAACCAGAACAATTGTCACCTTACTGCGTGACCAGATGACACTGCCTTTGCTGCTGCCTCTATTCATCCAGCCAGCTGCCATTCAGAACCCTTGTGTCTGACCACATCATTGACCACCGGGCAGGCGACAGATGGATGCCGTGGGATCAAGCACCAATCTGACCAAATCCGGTGTTTTCCAGGGTGGTAGGGTTCCATGATATTGTATAAAAACCTGGGTGTAGCGAATCAGCTGAGACCACATCCTTTAGAAGAAGTGCTGTGGATAGTGGATATGTCAGCCGTTCAAAGTATCAGGGATTCCTCTCCGATATAATCCTACTTAAAAAGATGAGGCTAAGCTTTCTTGTTAAGAACAAAGCAGTTCTTTAGGAAACAAAAACACAGCCACTGGGAACAGGGGAAAACAGACTGCGACGTGTACACATATGCACACATCTGTGGGGTACATGTACATACCACATAGAATAAGCCAAGAAGAAAATTCTGCATCTTTGGGAGACAGAGGCTAAGAGCTAAAATCATTGGGATGAATGGGGCACCTGGGTGGCTCAGTCAGTTGAGCGACTTCGGCTCAGGTCATGATCTCGCTCGTGGGTTCAAGCCCTGTGTCAGGCTCTGTGCTGATGGCTCAGAGCTTGGAGCCTGCTTCGGATTCTCTGTCTCTCTCTCTCTCTCTGCCTCTCCCCTGTTCACACTTATCTCCCTCATAATGAATAAACACTAAAAAATGTTTTTTAATGATTGGGATGGCATTGTCTGGAGAGCAAAGGAGTTGGCTGGAGGACTTCCTGAAATTCCTTTGAACTCTAGGATTCTTTGAAATCTCAAGGGCATGTAAATTGGACCCAAGTGTGTGCTTTCTCTCCAAAGTCTCCTAGATAACCTTTGAGTTCAACTCAGATCATGTTGAATGGGACCTCCCAGCTCACTCTTACCTTTCCAGACACTGACTTTAGCTGGGATAAAGGAGCGGAACTTGGTGGTGGTCGTGGGCGGTGGAGAACGGGAAGGTTGTGCCTGCCCAGTTTTCGGTGTTCATGCCAAGAAAGAACAATCTGAAGGCAAATTACAGGTTCTTTTCAGGTTAGGCAGATCCAGGCTTTCGGGATTGCATGCCATTCTGAAGTTGTTGCTTCTTGTCAAGGGATCAGACCTCCATCTTTGCCGTTGAAAGATGGGCATGAGTGTCTGCGGTATTGGAACATGAGCCTTCAGCTAATCCCACTCCTCTTGCATGCATGCTGTGGTCACAGGGTCATTGCCTGCTAAGGTAAAGAGGAGCATGCAACACTCTAGAAACCAGTCTCTCATTCATTACTCCTGTGTGAAAACTGAGATCCCCCGTGTAGCCGAGTCTTTGTCCCTGTTCAGACTCTCTCTACCTTCACTGCCCTTGAAGGAACACTCGTCTAGCTCCTTGGGTGCTGTTTTCCTTTTTAAAAAGACGAACTCATTTCAGACATTTCCCTCATCTATATCCCACATACAGTCTATGTACAGTCTTTCGTTCCAGAAGTCTTGCTGCCATGCCAAAGGCAACAATCTCCTCTTTCTCTTTCTCTCCTTATCTTCTCATTCACAGAGAAACACAGATTCCCAGAGCTCAGAGTGGTCTGTAGCATCTTTATCTAGATTTACCTCTGACTGATGCAGGAATCCCCTTTCCAACATCAGACCAGGGACTGTCCAGGCCTGGGGGAGGCAGCCTTTTTGAAAAGCAGAGTGGGAGACGATGCTGAGAGAGGGGTGAGTGGTATTCTTCCTGGTGGGGAAGTGGTAGGAGTTTGAAGAGCAACTCATGGACTTCCAAGAGACCCTGAATGTCAAGTTCTTAATGAGATTTCGAGGCGGACCCACCTTGCCCTCTCCCTGATGTCTATCGGTCTCATACTTCTGGATCCAGTGCATCTTTTGCTGATAGAAAGCACAGAATGGGGAGGCAAGGATGAGTTTCTGTCTCAGAGAGGCCCTCGTCTTCATTCCTTCCCTGTAAAATGGAGAAGTTGGGCCACATGATCCCCAAAGCCTCTTCTGTCTCTGACATCCACAAGGCCATCCTATTTAATAGAGTCCATGCCTTGAAGAGTTGCTGGGGGAGGGGGGGGGTTGGCCCCATATGAGAACAGTAAATCAGATGTTGCCCAAGGTACAGTGTAAAGACATTTCAGCCACATCCTGGACATATTCATCTTGCTGCCATTCATTATGAACATAACCTCAAATGAGCACCGCAGCCTCAAGATTTTGTTCAGGCTCCCCTGTGAGATTTTCCCATGGTGCCTAAACTTGACCCTCAGGGACTTTTGATCCTCTTCAAAGGGAAACCCTGGTGGTGATGGAGAGATAGGAGCTTCGGATAGTGAAGTAAGGCCCTCTGCTCAGGGGAATACGGTTTAAAGGGCATCAGCATGACCTTGGGAATGGCCACTGACCTTGGACAAGACTCTTCATGCCAGGCAAGTGGAAAGCGGGCAGGTTCCCCTACCTCTGCTTCAGAGTGCAACCTCCTTTACCCAGGCTAAATCTGTACTCTCGTCCTTCAGCGTTAGATACTTTTCTGTTGGTTTCGGTTTTCTCATCCACAAAATGGGAGACGGAAGTCGGTGATCCTCTCAGGTCCCTCCCATGCATCAGGTTCTAAGCCTCACCTGACCCAGCTGATGCCCACCTGTTCTCTGACCAGTAGTTCCTCTCCCTCGGTCTTTGGCTGCACGGGCCAAAAACCAGGGCTGTCCTGGGAAGTTCATTACCAAAGAATACTTCAAAGCTGTTTGCACTAGTTGTCAAGTTGCCGAACTTGAGTTTGTTGAGGCAGAAGACAAATAGACATACAGACTGATGGCAGAGGCATGGGGAAGGAGGAACTGCTGTTTGCCCGGGTGACAAGAAGGGGGGAAACGTGCCTGCAGTTTTGACCAATAAATAAAAACTGGGAGTTCTGTGTGGCTACAACTGGAGGGGATTTATTAGTTTGCTTAGTGAAAGGCAAATATTAAGTCTTAAGTTGACCCGTCCTGGGACATGCCATTGGCTTTTGTATGCCGTTCGGCACCGATCACCGTGTACTTTGGGTTATCGAGTTCTGTCAAAGGGTGTTTTTTTTTTTTTTAAATGATTGTTTCCCGTCTCCTTCTCCTTCTTCCCCTCCTTTCCCGTCCTTTCTCCCTGTTACTGTAACTCAGGTCTGGGCTTTAAAGGTGTGGGGAAAGTAGGGCGTGGAAGACGAGTTGTCCTGGTCATGAAGCTGTTTATAGTCAGGGCTCCTGCTGGCCTAGGAACTGCCCAGTGGCTGGAACGGAGGCTCAGGGGGAAGGGGTTGTGAGCCTACCAGTGGTCCTTGTGGGGACCCTCTGTCCTTCTCCCCAAGCATAATTATGGGCAACAGAAAAAGATACACATTCATATGTAACTGTTTGTGCTGAACAGTGGTGATTCCAGCCAGATGCACTGAAAAAGGAACCGCTGAAGGTAGCGCTATGAGTGCTAACTGGGGTCTGACCAGGGTCTGTCACCATCCACAGAGCGAAACGTGACCAGAGGGGCTGGACAGGCACCCGATCCGTCCAGTTTCCAAGTATGAGCTGCAATGAAGCTAAACTACATGAAAGATTCTTTACCCTTTGCCTCAGACATCCTCAGTGCAAGCCCGTCTGTTCTAAATCATTGCAGTTCATGGGTTCTCAGGCCTCATGGGCAGTGCTTGCTGATACCCACCAATGCAGGGTGCAGTCCACTGGGGTATGCTGCTCCATGGCAGACCCTCAGTACCCTGGCCACTCTGGCAGCTGTCCACAGAGGATGCACCGTAAGGGCCAGTTCAGGGTATGATGGTTCACTGCCACCACTCCTGTAGCCAAGAGTTGGGAATGTTCTGGAATCGCTTAATTAAGAAAGTTCCTTTCACATTCCAGTGGTGATTTTCGATTGAACTCAGCATGATTTTTAATCCTCTGGCAATTCTTCCTGGATGAGCCTATTTTTAAAAAGGTCAATCTTGGGTCCCCAGGCTGCTGAAGTCCTACTGATCCTTCAAGGCTCAGCTCAAAGGCTCCCTTCTGGGAAGCTCCCTGAATCCCTTCTTCCCTCTCAACCAGGCATTGTCCTTTTAAAGCATCTGGCCTTGGATAGGTACTCGAAAATTGCTGATCCCTTCTTCCTGGACCCCAGCACTTTTCTTAGGTCTTTTACTGTGCTTACACTGAACATGTTTTACCTACTTCTCCCTAAAGCTCCATCTCCTTCGCCACCCCAACACCCCCTACCCTTATAAGAGCAGGACCTGGGTCACTCCTTATGCACTGAAATTTAACCCTGAGATGAGTTGCCCACTCATGTTCATGACCTCATGGCAGTCACTGTGGTTGACACTTAATCCTAGAAAACAGAATCACATGGATCAGTCACTTGGACCCAGTCTTACATGTGAGGGTTTGGATCAAAATCAAGGTCATTAAGGGGCCTCAAGTTCAGAGCTCTTCAGTTGCTGCATGGTGGCTTGAACATGGCAGATGTATAGGAAAGATGTTGTGTTGAGTTTTCCTACTAATGACCTGTCACTGCGTCTCCCACCAAATTGCTGGTTACTTGTTTGCCCGCTATTTATTCATCAGTAAAGTGTTTTCTTTTTCTGAACAGTGCAGAAAATGTGCTTCTTGCGTGATGGGTGGTTTTCCCTGTAGAGACTTTTCTTGAACTAGAACGCGTCTGGTTTTTGCTGATTATTTGAGAGGTGGGTTCATTTTTAAAGTAGGAAAGAGAAACAGAAACTCAAAAGTTTAGGTCAAAATTTCTGAAGAATTTCACAGTGTCTAATTGGAGAGAAACAGAAGGAAAAAAAAAATCACATGTGAGATGCTCCCTGCCTTCAGGATCTTGCAATCTTAATTGTGTTTGCCAGATGAGCTCTTTGTTAGGGCTCCCGGAGAGCCTGGGTGGATGCTACTCCCTGTCCTTCCCCCTTAATGCCAACATTTCTAGTAATTCGTAGACAGAGAAGTTGGGTAATGGGGAGCAGGTCCCCATTATTACCTGGGGACAGAAGGCAAAAGACAGAAGGATTGACACTTGAACGCAAGCAAGCCCTGGGAAGAGAGAGGGTGTTCCCATTTTCTCTCTGATTAACTACCCCTTTCAAGGGGAAGAGCGTGGGAAGGAAAAGAGAAGGGCAGAGATCTCTGTGGGAGGTTCACTTTCTTTGGGAAGAGGGGGAAGAACTCAAAGCCCACCCCGTCTTCTTCTCACTTTGTACAAACAAGTAAAATTAGACTTTGGGGCACAGTGGATGCCATCTGTGGGCTGTGGTCACCAGTACCAATTTAGACATTTGAGAGAGGATAGGACGTTCAGCAGAGAAAAAGCAGGCAGTTCAGGAAATAGTATGTTCCGTGTTCTGCCGTGCTTTACAGTTTTCAGTCGTTTGAATCTCACGGCCATAGTGGGAGAAGGTTGTGAGACTTTGTTGTTACAGGTGAGGAGACCAAGCTGAAGGCATCAGTGACTTGCTGTAGAGTGCACCCCATAAGGTCCCTGCCCTCCATGCCATGTGCCAGTTTCTCCACAGCCACCTCAAGGAGGGACTGAACACGCAAGCCGTATCAGCT